ATAAATAAGCAAGCAAGCTCGTTTCTTGCCCTTCTGGTCAGCTGACCACTGTATTAGGCAGGGAGATGGGACTCCTGCAAGATTACACTCCCACTCCATACTTCAGTTGCCAAGTGCGAGAGACAGAACTGAGGAGCTTAAATATTCAAAAGTTGGAATGTTGTTGGCAGAGCTGTCTGTTTTTAAGGATGATAATGCACAGGTGTTAAACACCAAGCACAGGTGTTTAAACTTTAATTTACAGTTTCCTATCTGCCCCCTCAGGTTCCAAAACTCCCTAGTGATCCCTTTTGACCTTAGGAAGCCTTTGGGAGTCTCAGGATGCAGAAGCCTATAATATTCAAAAAACATCATGGGCTGTCATAGCAGTGGGTCTATCAATGGTAATTTTCAGATATTAAAGGCTTAATTTCCCCACCTCAAGCCTCCCAAAGGCTTCCCAAGGTCAAAAAAGGATCCTTAGGGAGCCTCAAAGCTTTTTGGGGGGAGCACATAGGAAACTTTAAATTAACATAAAGATCCACAGCTTATGACATCGTTAACTACACAATCATGGAGGTGCGTGACAGAATTTTGACCAAAGACTGGGGTCTGCTAGTGAATTACAACATCCATTAGATTGCTGGAGCCATTATCCCAAGATGAAGGCTGTTGATTTTTAACACAGAAGACTCTCCAATAAAACAACAAAAGAAACTACAGAAATAAAACAAACTTTCTCACTGCCCAAAATGAACCTACTGGTTCCAGGTCCTTCAAGCAGAAGCAGTTACTTGGAACAGTTGCTTTCTGTAAGACAACATGTTTTATATGTTCTCTTTAAAACAGGTAACTCACTAGTCCTTATTTTACAAATGAACCACCACTCATTACTTTGTTGTTGTTTTTTACTCTTCAAAATAGAAAAATAATCAAAAAATTATCTTCCAAACCAACATTTTAGAGTAGGAAGTAAATATTACTAGTTCAATCAAAATAGAAGTATCATTAATTCTTATATTATTTCACAACTGAATAGTTGTTATGCCTTTCTTTACCCACCCCAAATAATACACTCTAAGGAACATCATTATTTGCATGTTATTCCCTAGCACATTTAAGAAGCAACATTTCATTTCATACTAATTACCATTTTTCCCAACATTTCCATTTTATTCCAATTACCTTAGGGGAAAACACCCAAATAACTATAAACCCAAACTGATAAATTAGCTATAAGCCTTTTGCGTGATGCACTCTGATGTTCTATAGACTAGAGAATCATTCATGAAGTCAAAGATGGGGCTTCCATCTGCAAGATTTTGCTACTACAATGCCATCTACTGGCAGGCCATTCCAAACACACAATTCACATAAACCTTCCAAGGCAAATTTTACCCTCCAGAGAGGTGGCCAGAAAGAAAATAAAGAAGAGAATGTAGATCTTTCCCTTCAATTGCTATCTTGATTCCCTTTTATGGGAGAAAGACAAGGTAAAATTTATATTAATTTATTAAATAAATAAATGTGTTGCTACGTGCTGTCAAGGCACCTCCAAGCTATGGCAACCTGAAGAAGAAATTATCTCCAAAATGTCCTGTCCTGAACAGTCCTGCTCAGCTCTTGTAAATTCAAGCATGTGACATCCTTTAGGGAGTCAATTCATCTCATATTTGGTCTTCCTCTTTTCCTATTGCCGCCCACCTTTCCCAGTGTTATTGTCTTTTCCAGAGAATCCTCCCTTTTCATGATGGGCCCAAAGTAGGACAGACTCAAGCTTCAACTCAGCTTGATTTGATCGTGGACTTAATTGTTTGTCTTTTTGGTGGTCCAGGATATCTGCAAACCTCTCTTCCAGCACTGTATTTCAAAGAAATCATTTCCCCCTGTGTCGGCTTTCTTTACTGTCCAGATTTTGCACCCATACATGGTGATTGGTCATCCAAGAGCATGGATGATCATGGTCTTCGTCTCCAGTGATACATCCTTACACTTGATGACCTTCTGTACTTCCTTCATTGCTGACCTTCCAAGTCTCAATCTTCTTCTGTTTTCTTAACTGCAGTCTTCATTTGGATTGATGACTGAACCCAGGTATTCAAAGTCTTCCACTATTTTGATCTCTTGTCAAATTATGCAGTTCCTCTATAGTCATGATTTTGGTGTTTTTTTTTTTCATGTTCAACTGCAGCCCTGCGTTAACACTTTCTTCTTTTACTAAAAGTCATTTCAAGTAATTGCTGTTTTCTGCCAGTAATATGGTCTAATCTGCATACCTTAAATTATTGATGTTTCATTCACTAATGTTACTTATTTATTGTTTATTTATTTAAAATATTTTAAATCCCACCTTTCTCCTTAAAAAGAGCTCAAAATGGCTTACATCGTTAAAAAGACAATACACAAAGCTAAAACCAGTAAGTGTACAAATATTTAAAAAGAATTAAACAAATATTATATTAAAAATGGGAAATAAAATCAACACTAAAACACATTTAAAACCACAGAGCACAACATTCCATTAAGAAACCCCTCTCAGACCATCAATCATTAAAGATAAGCGTGCCTGAAGAGAAAGATCTTTGTCTACTTGCAGAAGGACAGCAAAGATGGGGCCAGGCTAGGCTCCTTTGGGGGGGGCATTCCAGAGGCTGGGAGAAGGGACAGAGAAGACCCTCTCTCATGTCCCCACCAAGCATACCTGTGAGGGTGGTGTCTCCAAGAGAAAGGCCTCCCCTGATGATCTTAATGCCCAGGAAGGCTCATTGAGGGAGATGTGGTCTTTTAGGTAGCTCCTTATGGATTTATAGGCTAAAACCAGCACTCTGAATTGTGCCCAGAAATTGATAGGCAACCTAGTGGAGCTCCTGTAACAGGGGGGGTTATATAGTATATCACAGAAGTGAGTACACCCCCTCACATTTCATAAATATTTTAGTATATCTTTGGACATTGTCACTTCGGGGTATACTCACTTTTGTTGCCAGTGGTTTAGACATTAATGGCTGTGTGTCGCGTTATTTTGAGGGGACAGCACATTTACCCTGTTGTACCATCTGTATATTCACTCCTTTACATTGTAGCCAAGTGTCATTTCTTCAGTGTTGTCACATGAAAATATATACTAAAATATTTATGAAATGTGAGGGGGTGTACTCACTTCGGTGATATACCATATGTTCCCTGTGGCCAAGCCCAGTTAGCAATCCGGCTCTGGCATTTTGGGGCCTCTGCAGTTTCTGAACACTTTCCAAAGGCAGCCCCACGTAAAGCATGTTACAGTGATCCAGATGAGATGTGACTAGAGCATATGACACTGCGGCCAGATCAGCCCTCACAAGAAAAGGGTGCAGCTGGCCACACTCGTTTTAACTATGCAAAGGCACTCCTGGCCACTGCTGAAACCTGGGCATCCGGGGTCAGGGATGAATCCAGGAACATCCCCAAGCGGAGCACTGTGCTTTCCGAGAGAGTGTAACCCCACCCAGCACAGGCTGCAAAGAGAGAGTGTAACCCCACCTAGCACAGGCTGCAACATAATTTCTTGATCGGCTTTTTGATTGACAAGGAGCATCTCTGTGTTGTCTGGATGAAGTTTCAGTTTACTCAGCCAGTTCATTGCTGATACTAAACACTGATTTAGAACTGAAACAGCTTCCTTGGATTCAGATGGAAAAAAGAGAGTTGGGTGCCATCTGCATACTGTATTGATGACACTGAACCCCAAAACTCCAGACAACCACTCCCGGTGGTTTCATGTAGCTTTTAAATAGCATAGGGCACTAAACAGAAGTCAAACAGGAGTCCCCCAGCACCACCCTCTAGGTTTTCCTCTCCAGGAACGGAGCCACTGTAAAGCCCTGTTCCCATTTTTCTAAATAGCATAGGGCACTAAACAGAACCCTGGTGTCAAACAGGAGTCCCCTAGCACCACCCTCTGGGTTTTCCTCTCCAGGAACAGAGCCACTGTAAAGCCCTGTTCCCATTTTTATCTGAAAGAATCTGGGTTTTGCCTCATATGGAGAGGCTACCTGCTGTCTACAACAGCCTCCCTTCTGCAAAAATTTTCACATGTTGAAAGCTTTAGCAGAGCTATATTTGCTAAAGCTAATTTTTTTTAAATCTCACGTTCCGCTGCTAAATCTGTTATGCTTATTAGTCATACTGTATTATTACAAACTTTTATTGTCTGCATAGTGACAGCAGCCATGCCTAAGTCCAAGGTATACACATTTTAATCACTTTCTTAATGACTTAATTCAAATTTTATAATATTTGTGCATCCCCCCCCAATCTCAATTGACCATTGTTGCTGCAATGGAACACATTTTTGGTGGTTCCATTGGAGTGAATCCCCTTTCCCTCCCATTTTGGAAAGCAATGGCATTCATGACGTGAGGGTATCTGTCAGGCTCTGTAGCTACTCTATCTGCCACCACATTTCAGATGGGGAACTGGATAAGGGCCACTACAGGTATCTTGTTGGTGATAATGTAGGCTTTGGTTGATTAGGAAAATCCAGACTGGTTCATTGCCACTAGAAAATTAGCCAGCTCAAAAGCAAGGCTTGCAAGACTAAGCTCTGACTCTGAGAGTCCATGATACAGCTCACATCTTCAGTCTATCCAGATATAAGAAATGGGTAAAAGGCCTTATGCAACTCTTGCTTAGCATCGGCTCCATGTCTGTTAAAAGAGGTTAACAATAATTACCCGTTCTGGAGGATTTATTGGGGAGAGTAATTGCGAAGACATAAATGAAATACTTACTGAAATCCAGACACTTACTATCCAGAAGAAATGTCCCTAGCCCAAAAAGTTCTAATTTCTGGGAATGGGAACAATCTTCAGTGCTTCTTCTTTCTATCCTGATACATATAAAAAGTCCACTATTTATTAGCTTAAAGATCTCTGAGAACTAGTGATAAAAGTTCTTCTTGGCTTCTCTGACCTCACAGAGTATTAAAACTGAACTCTAACCCCATACAACATCTGTTTACTATACATAAGGGGACAACTTACTTTTCTGTGTGAAGGGATCCATTTTCCTTGTTGTCCATATCAATCGACAGCATGGGGAGATCAGAGGGATCTTTCACGTCAGGAACTAGATCAATAAAGAAGAAAGCTGCACTCACTCATAAACTAATGAACAATGAAATGTTACAGAAGATACATAACCATGGTTTTCCTTTTAAAAGTATCTGATCACACACACACACACACACACTTCAAACCACATAGCATTAAAGGCAATTTGGGTCGATTCTGCCTGCAGCTTCAACAAATTCAATAGTTGTCCTGCCAATCAAAAAGAAGTAAGCCCTGTCCAACTGATTTGTGTACCAAAACTTTTCAACATGGGCATGTTTTGCCCTCGAGCTTAAAAGAGATACTTATTTGGAGTACACCTCCTTGAATCCCTTATGCAGGCTACACATTGCCGCCGCCCCCCCCCCAGCGAGCTGGGTACTCATTTTACCGACCTCGGAAGGATAGAAGGTTGAGTCAACCTTGAGCCAGCTATTTATTTACTCACTCACTCCTTAAAAGTTTACTTATTTGGAGTACACTACCTTGAATCCCTCAGCCAACATGGCTAGCTGTAGTCTAAAAACTAATTTTCCAACTTCTGTTTTGCCCCAAGAACCTGGACAAGTCACTCTCACTCAGACTCAGTGCAGATGAATGAAATGTGAGCTACACACTACTATATGCTGAAATTGCTATTATTATCAATACTACAATGACAATATTTTATTTATTCATTCATTCATTCATTCATTGATTCATTCATTCATTCCTTAAAAGGACCCAAGGCAAGGCAGGGATTTACTCACTCACTCCTTAAAAGGACCCAAGGCAGGTTACAAAAATTAAAAATATTTAAAAGCTAAAAACAGCGAGCACACAAATATTAAAAAATAATCAAACAAGTATTATATTTTAAAGGGACAATAAAATCTATGCTAAAAACACATTTAAAAACAGAGCATAGCAATCCTTTTAAAAAAAACACTTTCAGGCTGCCAGACACTAAAGAAAAGCCTGCCTTAAATGAAAGGTCTTCCCTCTTGCAGAAGGACAGCTAAGATGGAGTCAGCCTGGCTTCCCATGGGAGGGAAGTCCAGAATCTGGGAGTGCCAACCAAGAAAGCCCTCTCCCACATCCCCACCAATTATGTTTGTGAGGGTGGTGGGACTGAGAGAAAGGCCTCTCCTGATAACCTTGGGTACTCTTGTAAAGAGAGATATGATATTTTAGATAGCTTGGACCAAATCTGTTTAGGGCTTTATAGATTAAAACCAGGACTTTGAATTGTTTCTGGAAATGGATCAGCAGCCAGTGGAGCTGCTGTAACAGGGAAGTTATATGTTCTCTGTAACCAGCCCCAGTGAGCAATTTGGCTGAGACATTTTGCTTCCACTGGAGTTTTGGAATAGTTTCTAAAGGTAGCCCCATGTACAGAGTGTTACAGTAATCCAGCCAAAATATAGCTAGGGCATATGTCACTGTGGCCAGAGCAGCCCTCTCAAGAAGCTAGCACAGCTGGCACACTAGATTTAACTCTGCAAAGGCACTCCTGGCCACCCACAAAACCTGGGCCACAAAAATAGTCACAGTTTAAATATACATTAAAGTGACAATAATTAAAGAGATACAGATGACATCTTATGATTGTCAGAAAATAGCATGGAGTTGATATGACAACTGATGGAAGTTAAAGAAAGTTCAAAAGTGGGATTATAGCTGGACATTAAAAAGATAAAGATCACAACTAGAAAAGAATTGCATGACTATAATAACAATGAAGATACTGAAACTGCTGCAGATATTCTACACATTAATTAAATCATGTATCCAAATGAAGTCTTCAGACAAGACATTAGAACAAAGACTTGGAGGAGCATCTATGAAGCAGCTATTAAAGATGTAGAAAGGATGTGTTTCTGGAGACGAAGGGCAAGATAATCTATAGTATGGCAATGTCTACTACTATGTACAAATGTGAACACTGGACAGTGAAGAAAATACAGTGGTGCCTCGCATTATGTTAATTTGTTCCACCGAAATAGCTGTAGAACGAAAACGTCGTAAAGCGAAAATAAAAAAGCCATTGAAACGCATTAAAACCTGGTTAACGCGTTCCAATCTGCTAAGAACTCACCATCCAGCAAAGATCCTCCATAGGGGTGGCCATTTTTGGGTGCCTGTGCAGCGAAAAATGGTTCCTAAACACAGTGGGGAGCCATTTTGAGCACCCGGCGGCCATTTTGAAAACCCGATGATCAGCTGTTTTGATCGATGGTTGTTCTGGGTTTTTCGGGCTCTTTGGCCATGTTCTGAAGGTTGTTCTTCCTGCTGTTTCGATAGTTGGGAAGCGAAAATCTATCGCGCAGCGAAATTCGTCCATTCAAAACGTCGTTTTGTGATCGCTTTTGCGATCGCAAAAACCTTGTCGTAATGCGGATTCATCATTAAATGGAGCGCCCGTCTTGCAAGGCACCACTGTAATGGTTTAAAAATGGACTCACTGATTTCAGTGGGACTTAATGTCTAGTGAAAGAGTGTTCAGAGGATAACTGTGCACCAAAAGGACAACATTCTTAGTTAGATCTGGCAGAAGGCTAGGTAGGAAAGAAGTAGACCTTTTGTCACACACAGCTACCCTGCCAGCAAGTTCACTGTTTTCCTGCAGAGCACAGAGCATGTCCATGTGCATCCCATGTCCTCCCCATCCAATGCTGGATGTGATTCTTGGAATCAGAAAAGATTGTGCACCCCTTTTACAATAGCAATTTTCTTGTACCTCCCCTCATATTCTGAAATATTTTACACCCATTTATAATTTTAGAAAAGCATATATAAAATGTGACATAAGATCTGAATGGCTCTCAGCCTGCCCTATGCTACAAAAACATATGTAAGCTGTAGTCTTCTGTGTTATTGTTGACTTTGTAAAAATATAATGTATTTCCTCTGCCCATTCTTGCAAAAATCTTATCTGTAAAAATGGTTCCAAGCTATATAGCCATTACAGCTATTAAGTACTGATAAAGTCAGGCTCACAGGATTTTAAAAAAATGTGGCTTCACAAGTGGTTTGATGCCATCTAATGTAAGGACTTCCTTAGGATCCATCTTGACAAATCTAAGGTTTTCAGAGCTGTTGTTTTTTAAACAAGAAAATGACTTTGCCAAGCAACTAAACTCAAGTGGGCAAATTATTATCAACATTAGAAATAAAACATGTGTAAACTGAGGATGTCCTACTTCAGGCACATTGGGAGAAGCAGGATTCTCTGGAGAAGACAATAATGCTACGAAAGGTGGAGGGCGGCAGGAAAAGAGGAAGACCAAATACAAGATGGACTGACTGCCTAAACCCAGGCTTGAGTTCGCAAGAGCTGAGCAGGGCAGTTGAGGACAGGACATGTTGGAGAGCTCTCATCTATAGGGTCATAAGTCAGAAGCAACCTGAGATCATGTAACAACAATAAGACTCTGAGAAAAAAAATCCTGGCTAGATTATTTTGACCTTGGCTTGACCTAGCAAATAAATACTTATGTGCATACAGATAACTTCTTGGGAATTAAATCTTGGCATTTTGTAGCTCTATCTCATACAAGAACTAATTTTACATTTTTTTAAAAAAAAATTACATCTAAGCACATGTTAATTGTAACAGCAGAAAATCTATGCAATTTACACTGTGAGTCATGGATATGAGTAACCTGGCAAAGATAATGAAATGTACACATTTAGTTCATGTAAGGTGGTCATCTGAAAAAGAAGGCAACACTGCCATATCACCAGTACTCAGCAAAGGAAAAGAAAGGGAAATGAAAATAGTCTGGGTGAACAGTTGGCTACGAAGGCGGTACCAACATGAGGGATTTGGATTCTGGGACCATGGCTACGCTTCCAGGAAGATGGGCCACTGGCAACTGATTGGCTGCACCCCACAAGGCCTGGGAAGAATGTGTTTGGCCACAGCATGAAGAATTTCATCAGGAGGGCTTCCTACTGAATTAGGAGGAGGAGGGAGATGCAAGCTCAGAGGTAAAGGTAGATGAAGGCTCATGCACTATACGAACAGATGGAGTAACTCTAATAGGGTCCAATAATAAAATTCATACAAATGTATGAAGGAAAACCAACCACAAATCTCACAATCGCCGATGTCTATATACAAATACCAGGGGTATGGGAAACAAAGAACAACTGAATATTGGGCCATTTCCTGGCTTTTTGAATCATGGATACAGAAGCACAATATCGCACATTCACAAGCCAGAGGTTTTTTGAAGAATGGGATTTTCTTGAAGTCATGGAAGATAGGTGAAATGTCAAATGATTGGAGGATGGCTAACGTTTTGTCTCTATCTTCAAAAAGGTAAGCCAGAGGTTTTTTGAATGGAATTTTCTTGAAATCATGGAGGATAGGTGAAGTGTCAAATGACTGGAGGACGGCTAACGTTTTGTCTCTATCTTCAAAAAGGGCAAAAAGGAAGAACCTGGGAACTACAGAATAGTCAGCCTAAGAAGAGAATGAAATTTAACAGTGACAAATGCAATGTTGTACATCTAGGAGGAAAAAACCAAACATAGTAGTAAAATGGGGGGAGTATGTTGCTCAATAATGTTGAATAAATAAATACTACGAGCAAGAAGGACAGGGTTCCTACTCCAGTCCCCTGAAGATGCCGGCCACAGAGACGGGTGAAACGTCAGGAAGAACAACCTTCAGAACACGGCCGAAGAGCCCGAAAAACCCACAACAACCATCGAACTTGGAATTGTTATAGATCACAAGTTGAATATGAGCCAACAGTGTGATGTGGCTGCAAAAAAACAAAAACAAAAAAAGGTAAATACTAATTTGGGCTGCATTAACAGATGTATAGTCTCCAAATCCCGTGACATACTAGGTCCCCCTCTATTCGGCACTGGTTAGACTTCATATAGAGTACTGTGTCCAATTCTGGACACCATACGTTAAGAGGGAAGACAGAAATAATTGGCCATGTTTAGCCTTGAGAAAAGAAGATTGAGGGGCAACAGGATAGCAGTCTTCAAATACTTGAAAAATTGTCATACAGAGGA